GCAGGCATCTGTGACACAGCCTCCCGTCCAAGCTGTAAAAAGCCGCAACGACATGCAGGATGGATCGAGGGGAGAGGCACGTCTCAAGCGAGTCCAGATCGACGGAGTCGATGCAGGGATGGGACATGATCAAGAGCGGGAGGAGGAAAAAGGGGCGGTGAAGGAAGGATAATGACAGGAGGAGGAGGACAGGGGACGGGAGAGGGTGAGAAGGCATTAAAAAGCAAAGGATCACCTGAGGACATACAATGAGGCTGAGACGAGCTCGAAGAAGGATGAGGGAGAGGAGGAGGAGGCGGAGGAGAGAAAGAGGGGAGAGCAAGGAGAAAGAGGGCAGACATCAGGCGGAGCATAATGGCATGGAACCATGATCGAAAAGGAATAAAACTCCAGACCCGCCTCGCACACCCAACACACCGCGGCCGCCAGGCCCCAAGGGTCCGAGTGATTCCCTGAGGATCCCGCCCCGCACCTTCGACGAATGACGACTGCATGCCGCGGCCGCCAGGCCCCAAGGGATCCTGGTGATTCCCTGAGGATCCCGCCTCGCATCTACGACGAATGACGGCGTACAGTGCGGACGCGACCGCAAGAAACCCTCACAAGAAACCCAGCCCTGAAGACCCGCGCAAGGGGTGCGACTGGGGGAAAGCCAAGGGCACCATGAACGCAGCAGCTTCTTCAACGGCCGCGGGAAGGCACCGCGCATCGTGAGGAGCGAGGAAACCCAGGGTACCCTGACGAAAAGCACATGGTTTCTTGATGCGCACCCCCACTGCAGCGGCAAATAGCAAACACCAACAATAAAGCAAACGTAAGTAACAGCCAGCCCGACCAGGGATGCGTCACAGCGTCGCGGCGTCCAGGCGTCCCGCCGTCCAAGGCATCTAGAACTAACGCACGGAGAGTACATCAATTGCAGCCAACATGCATCGATAACACACATCCAGTGCACACCTAACATCCACGGAGAACAAAGACGACACCTATAAGAGTCACCGATCCCTCACAAGCACTAAGAACCGAAACCAAAAGGAGAAATCCACCATTCCGATCTGGCACATACATTGATCCGCCACCGTGCCCTGAGGCACGAGTTGCCTGATCCCTTTAGACTCAGTCCCCAATGTTACAGACTATTTCAGGGACCCGGACCCCGCATTGTCAAACCTTTTGTGGTACCCAGCGTCCCCCCCCGCGGCCCCCAGCGTCTTCCGGCGTGACTTGTTCTGAACCAAGAGGGCCTCAAGACGTGCCAAGAGGGCCCCAAGGAGATCCCAAGATGGTCCACGAGGGCCCCGAATCGCCGAAAGATCCCTCCGAAATGTCGAAGATGGCCCCAAGACCCAAGACGGCCCAAGACGTCCCCAAGACGCCCCAAAAGGCTTCCAAGACGCCTCTGAGGGGGGCCCCAAGAGGCAGCATCTAACGATTCCCCTACAATGCCTGATGGATGGTGGCGTTCTTGCCGCTTCGGCTTCCCGACACTCGAACACGGCCCCACCGGCCCCCAAGATCGCCCCATGACGGTCCAAGAGGCCCCCAGGAGGGCCCCAAGACGGCCCAAGAGGGCCCCCCAAGGGGCCCAAGAGACGCCCCAGACGGCCCAGGAGAGTTTTAAGACGGCCCCAAGTGGGGCCCCGGTGGGAGAGCCCGAACCGACAAGCCGAGGTCTCCGCCACACAATGCCCCCCAGGAGGCGCGAGGAGGCCCTCTCGAAAGGCCCGAACACGCCCCAGAGACGTCCCAAGAGCCCCCAAAACGCCCATCAAGAGGCACCAAAATCGCCTCCAAGAGGCCTCCTCGAGAGGCCCCCCACGACATCCCACCGAATACCTGAGAAACCCTACGACCCACAACCCAGGCACGGTGGCGGGATGTGCCGAAGGCCATTCGACCTGGGCCGGCACGGAAACGGAAAGAGCGGACCAGGAACTGGCCCGAGATGGCTCATGGCACCCTTCGCTCTTAGGAGCCTTGGCGATAAGAGCCTGTTACGTCACCGCTCGCTCTTGGGAGCCTTTGTGTTCAGAGACTTTCACGTTGCCGCTCGCTCTTGGGAGCCTTGGTGTTGAGAGTTGTTTCCGTCACTGTTCGCTCTTGGGAGCCTTAGTGTTGCGAGTTTGTCACGTCACCCTTCGCTGTTGAGAGCCTTGGTGTGAAGAGCTTTCTGCGTTACCGATCGCTCTTTTATGTTACGTCTCTGGGCCTTCTTGGGGGTCTTTTTGGAGCCCGTCTGGGGCGCTTTTGGGCCGTTTTGGGCAGTTTAGGGGCGGTCTTGGAGCCCTTTTGGGCCGTCTTGGGGCGTCTTGGAGGCCTTGGACCGTCTTGGGGCTCTCTTAGCGGCCTCTTGGGGCCCTCTCAGGAGCGTCTTGGGGGCTTCGTGGAGCGCTCATTGGGCAGTCTTGGGGCTCTTTTGGGCAGTCTTGGGCCCCTCTTGTGCTGTCTTGGGCCCGTCTTGGCCGGTCTTGGGGTGCTCCCAGGGCCCTCTTGGGCCGTCTGGGTGTGACTTTGGGGGCCTCTTGGGCTGTCTTGAACCCTGCAAAAGCCGAAAAAGCTGATATGCTGAACAGGTCAGTTTTTCCATCGGAACTTGACGATTTCAGCCTCTGTGGGGTCCTCTTGGGGGCCTCTTGGGGCGTCTTGGAGCCATCTTAGGGTGTCCTGGGGGCCTCATAGACCTTCTTGGAACAAAGTTAGGCTGTCTTGGGGCACATCATCGGGCCGTCCTGGGGCGTCTTGGGGGTGTTTTGGGCCGTCTTGGGCGCTTCTTGGGCCGTCTTGGGCGCCTCGGGGACCCCAAAAGGCCATTAGAGCCCGGGTTGGCGCGCCTCGCTCCTCCCCTGGAACCCCTCCCTTAAGGGCTTCGCCCCACCAAATAACGGACATTACTCGTATCTCGCTCTTGAAGGTCATTGGACCTGGGCCGGCACGGAAACGGAAAGAGCGCCTCAGGAACTGGCCCGATAGGGCTCATGGCGCCCTTCGCTCTTGGGAGCCTTGGTGTGAAGAGCTTGTTAAGTCGCCGCTCTTCGTTGGGAGCCCTGGCTCTCCGTTGGGAGCCCTGGTGTTCAGGGCTTCGCCCCCCCAAATGACGTACAGTCGGACTTGATTGGACAGGACATGCAGAGGAAACAGGACCCTCCCGAGGGCCACGTTGCCATAGGATTGTAAGAAGGCGCGTGTCGCGAGGCGCAGGACACAAGGGCACCCTTGAGCTGGCAGGGTCGACCTACGAATCCAGGCCGACTGTACATCGCTCGTACCTCGCTCGGTCCGTCACCCGGACCGGCACGGGAACGGAAAGAACGCTCGAGGAACTCGCCCGATCAGGCTCATGGCAACGTTCGCTCTTGGGGGCCTTGGGGTTGAACGCATTTTCACTTCAAGACGGCCGGAGATGGTTTCCAGATGGACCAAGACGGCCCAAGAAGCCTCCAAGAGACCTCCAAGACGGCCCAGAAGGCCCCCAAGAGGACGTACAGGAAGGTCCGAAGAGGGACAAAACATGAGTTTCCTATACTCTTTCGCCGGATCGGGGCGTTTGCTCATTTCAGGCTTTCCGACTGCCCAAGACGGCCCCAGAGGCAAAAACGATGGCCCCAAGAGCGCCCAAGAGGCCTCCGAGGTGGCGCCAAGACGGCCCAAGAGGCCCTCAAGACGGTCCCAAGAGAGGCCCAGAGGACCTCCAAGACGCCAGAGATGGCCTCCAGGACGGCCCTGAAGCGCCCCAAGAAGGGCCCCAAGTCGGCCCAGAGAGGCCACCAGTACAGCCTTCGACCGCGTCAGCCTTCTGACGGTCACAGAGCCTCCCAAGGAGCCTCCAAAGGCCCCGGGAAGCGCGGGAGGCCCCAGGAGTGCCCCAAAGGTTCCAAAGAGTCCTCCTCCTCCTTGTTCTCCTCCTCGTCATTCTTCCTCCCTCGTCCTCTTCTTCTTCCTCCCCCATGTGTTCTCCGAACGTTTCCCACTACAGCTGGGGGGGACATAGTCTGGTAGTGTGGCCGAACTCTGGCCACACCGCTCGGCCGCACAGGCGCTTCGAAAAGGCAGGGGGCGGCGGTGGTTTGCCTTCGGCGTCTCCGATAACACACATCAGGAGCACATGAACCGATCCATCACGAACAGACATCACCATCCGAAACCAAGAACATGCTTCAGACATCGGCATCAAGAACGCGCATCAATACTCAACTTCGCGATCAGATGCCACAACCAAGCACCCATGACAACCACCAGCCACATGCACGAGGGAAGCACACACGCACCAAGTGCACATATCAAGAGTGCACGCACTGTGCCCGAATTACTTACACCAGTAAAGCACAAAACGTCAACATATACAACATCACGCACCAGTGTCGCACATGAGTATAATGCCCCAAGCATGCATGAGTAACGCAACTAGAGAGCAAGCACCAAACACATCACACACAACGCACACCAAGCAAGTGTAACAATACTGTACACCAACACCAAGACAGGTGCACAAACACCATACTTGAATAACGTGCGCCACAGCAACGAAACGTCAAGCCCACCAGTCGGCACACGCCCTAACAACAAGCAACTATTACACTCGTCTAGAGCACACGCATACACGCATACGAAACGCACACTGCCATAACCTACACCATACGCCAGCAGCGTATATCACGACGATGAATCAATAATGCATGGATGAACGCTCATGGCGCACATGTACACAGGCACAATTATCATACATCAAGAACACACATCATCAGTATACACCAAGCATGCTCGTTCAAACAACCCAGGACCACACCCAAATCAACTACTTCGAGCGGAAACGCGTGCAACAACCCTGAGCCATGTATCGAAAACAACACCATTACCGCACACATACACACACACGCGCACACATTCAGACCCGGCCTCAACACTGCATTACGAAAATGCGCCACTACCATACACCGATACAGTACCATACATCAGCACCACACATCAACATCATACAGACTGTAGCTACTCGGCCAAGGTTGTTCCCAATCAAGATGTATGTTTAGAAACTGAGCCCGATCGTAGAGCGCTTCGTCGTAGAACACTCGTGGACTCGCCACACGCGAACGAGCGCAGACGGGGGCGCGCCGCGAGCCCTCATCCGCCGCAGGCAGGGTCCACCTCGTAGTCGCAAGGATGGTCAGCAGGCCTCCAAGTTGACGGGGAAGCCATCAGGGCTGTCAAATCCAGCAGCTTCCAAGTGTGCCTGATGCTCCAGTAGTCGCTGCTCAGGATCCCAAAAGTTTCTTCGTCCCAGAGGGGGTCCCAGGGCTCGAAGTTCCCAGTAACCACGTTGACCTCCCCCTCCTTCCACTTGAGCCCGTTGATCGCCCAGTAGGCGAAGTCTGCGTCCCGCGAGGAGAGGTACCGCACGAAGTTCAGCCAGTACGTGCCCCGTGCCTCCTGTCCGAACTCGCCCATCCAAACGGGCGCTGTGAAGTCATACCCGTCTTTGAGCGCAAAGCCCCACATGCGGTCGAAGTGCCAGGCCGCAAAGTTGTAGGTCGGGATGAGGTGCGCACAGATGTAGGCGGCAAGGAAGAGGCTGATGAGGATCAGCAGCAGGATGAAGACCTGGAGCCCGACGCAGAGGCCGCAGTCCCACTCGGCCGGGGGCCTGGGCGCCTGGCGGAACAGTATGCTGGAGACCACGCCGGGGATGTCGCGGTAGACCCGCAGGCAGGTGCCGAAGCCGGGGACGCAGCAGAGGTCGCAGCACCGGCAGCGCACCGGCGCGCAGGCCGCCTCCGCCGCCTCCGTCACCGCGCGGCCGGCGTCCCAGTCCGCCCCGCTCGCTGCGGCGCTGGGGGTGGCGGGGAGGGAGCTGGCGGGGCTGCGCTCGGCCGCCGCGGCCGGGCTCGCGGCGCGGCGGCTCGCGGCGCTGCAGTCCAGGTCCTCCAGCTCGCGGACCTCGGGCCTGGCGCGGACCCTGCCGTAGGTCTGGGCCGCGACCACCACGGGGTTCCCGAGGGGGCTCATCTCGTAGAGCTTCCTGCGGCCCTGGCGTCGGGTCTCGGGCCCCTGCAGCTGTCCGCCCACGCCCCCGAGGCCGAGCAGCAGCAGCACCACGCCCAAGGCTACGGAGACGATCGAGAGAGCGCTGGTCACGGCGAAGCCCACCACCCAGGGCATGAAGTCGACGTCGGCGGAGAAGGCGCAGAAGAGCATGGCGAAGTCGCGCATCTTCGTCGCGATGGTGAGGCCCACGAGCGAGAAGAAGGACGTCCAGAAGCCCGCGGAGACGAGCAGCGCGCCCAGGGGCGGCAGCGGCTTGCCCAAGAACTTCCAGGCCTGCCGCTGGAACACCACGATGGAGACGAAGATCACTGCCAGAAACAAAACATACGACCGCAGCTCCTTCCACGGCAGCAAGATCTTAGATATATTGTCGAAGATCTGGTACTCGAGGTAGTTGTGCGTTTCGTACACGACTCTGTTCGGATACATGAGCTGTATTGGCATGCGCCTCATGGGCCTGAGGTCGGCGCCAAAACACATGGCCATCACAACTATGAGGACGTCCGGGTTCGTTTCCAGCACCTTGTTGCCCGCGACGGTCGCGGCGAGTGCCCAATCGGTTTTGGGATCGCCACCTCCCCAAGTGAGGTGGGTACCATCGTAGTCGTGAACCTCGTTTCGGAGGTCAATGGCGACAACCAGACGATTATGCTTGTACCTATTGGCAAAGAAGACGAGGCTCTCTATCCACTGCTCCTCGCTGTACTCGGGCGTGTACCAAAGACCCTCGTCCTGAGAGTAATGGCAGCACCAGCCTGACTTGGAGTTGTGATTGTTCACGATCACCATGAGTCCGACGTCTGTCATCATCTGAATGTGCAGGTCGAACAGCTCCAGGAAGCGTTTTCCCTGGAGCTCTGGATTTGCGAGGAGCGTATCATCAGCGACAACCGGATTTTCGACATACCTAGAAGAGGAACAAACGCAATGACCACAAACTTTTGGCGCTCCACGCGGATCCAAGAAATCCGCGCGGAGCGCCGGAAGTTTACAGTAGGGGCCCGACAACAAGAACCCTTCAACAAGAAACCCAACCCTGAGACCCCAGGACGTCCATCAATGTTTGGAGTGGGAAAGTTACCCTGTCCATAGCAAAACCATCGAAACCCAGGGAAGCCAGGGCACCCTGGAATCAAGCAAAGTGTTCCTTGGCATGGGTTTCGTCTGTATGTTTATGGCGTTTCTCCTTTTTCGGATACCCCTCCACGCTGTACATGGCACGGACGCAATTGAAGCCCAGGCCGACGATCCGGTCCACAATGTCCCGCATTGGGCGCACCTCCAGGCCGCCCACCGCGTGCCTCGTGGAGTACGCGCCGTACCAGTTGACGCAGGCCCACTTCACGCGCTCGCCCCACTTGTCCGTGATGTTGCGCATCGTTTCGCCGAGTCGTACAATGACATAAATATAAAAACTCGGAGGTCCGCGCTGACTTCTCGGATCGGCGCTGGGGCCACCTGGCGGCGCCTCGGGTGTCGAGCCCCTGGCGCGCTCCGCGCGCGAGGGAGGGGGTCCAGCGCCAATCCGAGAAATCCGCGCGGACCTCCGTTTTCCTATGCTTATGTCATCGTTCGCTCCCCTATAAGATTCCCATGGGCATGGCCCAGGCCCCACTGGCCGATTTATACCCCCTCGATGGGAATATAGGCTGTTTCCTTCGGGTTTCGAAGGGTGCGTGTATGTATGTATGTATGTATGTATGCATGCATGCATGTATGTATGTATGTCTGTATGTATGTATCTCTACATATATATACATATATACACATATACACACACACACACCCCAACTGGAGTACTGGGATGGTGGGGGTCTGAGTAAAGATGGGGATGGGGACATGGCCGGTTAAGCGATGCTTAGCTGTACCGCCCCTGCGTCCGCAGCGGCAGCCTGGCCGGGTCGACCAGCGGCGCCCCCCGCCGCTCCTCCGTCAGGTTCTCGAGCGGCGTGCCAGGAGAGTATGCCAGCGCGCGCGCGGCCCCCAGCGCACACAGGATGCGCTGCGGGCCTGGGGGGCCCCACCGGCCCATGGCTCCGGTCAGGCCAGGGGCGCCTCGGGCTCTGGCGGCCCCGGCATCGAAGGCTGCGGCAACAGCCTGAGCCAAATGGCTGCGGAGCGGGAGGGCGGAGAGGGGAGGGGTGTCGCGGACGAGGAGCAGAGCGCACCTGCGCGGTGGGGACACGCTAGAGGCTGCCGCGGCGTGCCCACACGCTGTCTGGGTGTGCGTCGTCTGGCGGATCCCAAAAGGAAGTGGCCCGGGGACTTCCAAGAGGGGCTCGGGTGTCAGAAGGCCTGAGGGCCAGAGGCCAGCTCGCCCCCGTCGCCCCGCCCCCTTCTGAGCGCCGCCGAACAACTCTGAGTCGGGGCATGTTCGGTCAGCTGGCACCGCAGCGGGTTACAGCGGGCACGTCGGACACCTCGGGTGTCTGGCAATCGGCAGTGCGCCGAATTGGCCCTGCGCAGCAGATCAGCAGAGGAGGAAGATGGCGGCGACAAAGGCAGGCGGGAAAAGAGACGCCTGACGCATCGGGGGGTCAGACGCCTTCACATATTGCTCGAGGGGATCGGGGACGGCATGCGTGGCGCACGCAGCGTGCAGGCTCTTGCAAAAGATGTCACGGATGCCCACGTATTGTGCTGCGTGCGAACTTCAGACTTGCGTTCTCTTGGCCTTCTACCGACCTTGTATACATGTCCTTCCAGCAGCCATCCATGGCAGTGTGACCAGAAGACATGCTGCTAGAGCGGAGGGACTTGACGTGATCTTCGGATTGTCTTTTGCTGAGGACAGTGTGCGCGTGCCGCTTCGCCGACCTAGACTCCCATCAGGGGTGTGTTGCTTCGTCCCCTGCTTTCGGCTGTGTCTGCAAGGTTGAAGGGGCCCTGGGACACACAAACAAATAGACGAAAATTAAGGGACCCCATATTTCCCCATGCTTTCTGGGTCTTTGTCTTCCCTCCACTTCCCATATGTTCCCCTATCTTCCTGGAGGTTGACGATGAATTGTCTCTGTGTTTTTTTTCCCTCCTGAAGGGTTCCCGCCCCGCTTGACGCACCGTGTCCCCTTGGTGGGCGTCCACCCTGACTCCAGATCCGCCCTACTTTGGCTTGTTTTCCCAACTTACAATTGCGTCGGAAATCCACCTATAAGAGCCCGAAAAAAGAGGGCGGACATTTCTGCACCCAACATACAGTAGGGCGGAAGTCCACAGAAGCAGGGCGGACACAGCACCAGAGAAGCAGGGCGGAGATTGGCATCAGCGGGGCCTGAAAGGCAGGGCGGGAATTCCAGGCCCTGCTTACGACTTCTCCCAAGAAGTAGGGCGGATCTGGATAAAGGGAAATTAGGACACACAAATAAATACACACAAATAAAAATAGTCCCCATATTTTCTAATATTTTCTGGGTTTTTGTCTTCCCCCCCAATTCCCATATTTTCCCATATTTTCCTGGGAATCGAGGATTAATTGTGTCTGTGTGTTTTTTTCCCTCCTGACTGGAGTCAGGGCAGTGCGCTGGGTGGGTCTGCGGGGCTTCCGGCTGCCGCGGGGCGCCCGCCGCCGCCCCGCGGGCGAAACCGCGGCAGCCGGGCGGGTCTGCCGGGGGGCCCTCGGCCGGCGGGCGCCCCGCGGCCGCGGAGCGCCTGCGGGGCACCCCGGGCGCAGCCGGCGGTTCTGCGGGGCGCTCGGCCGGCAGTCGTTCCGTGGGCGCCGCGTGCGCTGGCAGCCATCTCCAGGTGCGAGCAGGATCCGATCCTGCGATCGAGAGGAAAGCTGGCTCCCCCCCTCCCTCCCCTGGCTTCACGGCCCCCCGCTCCCGCGCGGTAAGTTGCACGCGATGTTGCATCCTCGCTCGCTTTCCGTGTGAACTCGCACCGCCCCAGCTTGACCGAACTCGGTCCCCCCCTCGAAACCCTGTCAAATGATACAATGCGCGGGAACAAGTTTACCTCCAATGGCACTTGGCAAGCATCCCTTGCGAAACGAAGCACGAAGTCCACACGCACGCACACATGTCGCAATCACGACAATCAAACATCAGCGTAGCGCACGATTCAACATAACAACCAGAAAACAAACTGTGGTGCTCCATCGCAGACTCAATCGGTCGATCGCAAACTCTGCAAACTGTCAGCCGGCGAGCAGTTGCTGAACTCATGGGGGGGGCCATCTGATCTCAACAATTTATTCCAGAACACGCGTTTTCATCTCACCCAGCGTTGCACATGCGTTGATCTAGCATGCTCCCAGTACGCGAACCCGTATTGGGAAATACCCTGCGGGCTTCACGCGCGCGCCGCCAGGCGCGCGTGTCGAAAACGTTCACAGACCACGGGCCATCGAAGCAATTCGATATAATGATCCAAACACACATGAGCACCCATGTTTGCCAACAGCAAGCCTGCCTGATTGTTTGAACTGGTGCGCACGCGCTCCCTCACCATCACCCACGTCAACGTAATCGCATCACCACCTTTATCGTCACAGCCAATCGGCAGCATTGCCAACATCAGTCGTCGATCACCCTCATTACAAACACATGGACATCAACATCAACATCATCATCATCATCATCATCATCATCATCATCATCATCATCATCATCATCATCATCATCATCATTATCACCATCATCATCATCATCATCATCATCAGCATCATCATCATCATTATCATCATCATAAACATCATAATCATCATCATCATCATCATCATCATCATCATCATCATCTCCATCACCATCATCATCATCATCATCATCATCATCATCATCATCATTGTCATCATCATCATCACCACCACCATACACGTCATCATCGTCACCAATCTTGGCACCGTCATTGGCCGTGCCGCCGTCACCACTTTCCATCGCGACCACCCTCGTTGCTATCATCATCGTTGTTGCACTTGTTGGCGTCATCGTGATGTCGCGCCCGCCCGAGACACTGACGCGCACTGGTAGGGCCCGCGCGCCAGCGGCGTTCCTGGGACGCGCTGAGAAGCTTTCACAGGCAAGATCAATCGCGGCCGCATCAGCTGTGCCAAACCAGCTGGCCACTCTGCGCCCGAGCTTGCGCGAGCCAGCGCGGCAGCAGAGATGCGCCAGCCAGGGCCAAGCAATCACCGCAATCGCATCCGCATGGGTTGTGCAAAACAAGATGCGGGCGGGAGGATGTGGCGAATGCGCGAACGGTGAAGCTGACAACCCATGCGCTGACAAAATTCACTTATAGGGAGAAGGCATACCACACATCATACGGCTTACATCGCACCGCATGGATTGCACACGGAGATGGAACTACCATAGTGGCGCCCAAACTTGTCACAGAGTGTACCATACAGCTTGTAGAATGTACTGCGCAGCTTGCACATTGCACCACGTAGCACGTTGCATTACATCGATTGCACCATATTGCTTGGGCACCCTGTAACGCAGTACGCCGACTACTTTGTCTGAGATAGAATAAACTCGACCACCCTCCCACACCCCGACCTACGGGTCCACCAGGGGGATGTGTGATCGTCATGTGACCCCGCTCTCTCGTTCATTTCTCCAGTGAGCCCATTCAATCCCAGACAGGTTGGTTTTTATACTCCGATTCGTGCTTTTCAAACTGTGCCAAACGCGCACGCGTGTGCATCTCAACTGATCATTTTCCAAACCGATGTATTTGAAAGAAACACGATCAAGGCACAACGCAACCAAAAAACAGGCCACCGCAACAGTGTACACACACACGCGCGCACCTGTCCAAGTCATCCCGACAGCATGGTGCACGCAAGCTCTCCAATGTAACAGCCTGTGCACACCAACCCCAATAATGGATAAACGATATGGATTGAAAAAAACGTGCCCAAAACCACACTCTCCATTTGACAACGCGATGCCCCTGCGTCGACCTAGCACGCGCCCACTGCACGAATCCGTTTCAAACCAGAGCATGCGAGCACCATGTGCGCGCCGCCACGCGCGCGTGCCGAATTTGGCAAATGCCAGTGTTTCCAAATTCTATCCAGGATACGGCTCTTCGAAACACATGAAAACGAACAGCGTACTTCTATAAACATACTGCGGCATTTCTTGGTATCCTGCGCGCGCGCGCCCTCAGTCCCCTCAACACCGCCATCGCGCTCCCGTCGTGGTCGTCATCATCATCGCTGGTCGCCTCCGTTGCCGCCAACACCAACACATCCGTTCTGTCATATACACATGGATGTCACCTTCATCATTTTCGTCATCGCCACCGTGGTCATCAGCATCGACGCCGTCAGTGAGTGGTTTCGTCGGCATCATCGGCACCACCACATCGCCAATATCATCTTCACTGCCTCAGTTGTCGACGTCATCAAGGTATCGCCCCCGCCTGAACCACCGACCTGCGATGCACCGCCCGGGCGACAGCGCGGACTTTGAGGCGCGTTGGGGGCATCCCATCAGTAAGCTGTATCACGGACACATCAATTGTGCCAAGTGGGGCGGTCGCTCGGCGCTGCGAACGTGCGCGCGCCAGCGCCGTCGCCGACATGCGCTAAAAGTTGTAATCCGTGACCACGTTCTTGGCCCAATGAGTTTTGGCAAACAGACTGCGAGTGGGAGGGTACAATGGTTGCGCTGGCAGTGCAATGA